TAGTAATGAAACAATAAATTATATTTATATAATATATAATTAGAATTTTAAAATGTAAATTGTATATTTTATCCAATGATTAATTTATCTAAAAAAGAAATTAATTTTACTAAATATTAAAGCAATATTAAAGTAAATACATCTTATAATTCTATCATTCTTTTTATCTTATTTACTATAGATTTAGATTAGAATTGATATAATTTCAATATATATTTCAGTCAATAAAATTTTTTTTATGTCAATTCATTCAAATTAATTTTATGTTAAATTTATATACTATTTATAAGATAAATGTTCCCATATATATTGTTTTCTAGTTTAAATTGTCATTATGCAACTTAAAGTTTTCATATAAGTTTATAAAAATTATAAATTTTTATTAATCTTTAAAAATTAATTTCAATATATCAAATTTATAAATATATAAATGATATATGAATTGTTATGTATTTGTAATAAAAAATATAGAAATAAACAAACAAAACAATTCATACTGGAATTTACTTACATTAAGCAATTTCATATTTTATTAACTATATTTTTTTGTATGAAAATGCATTTTCCAACGCCAGTACCATCCCATTTCAAGTTGATTAAAACCAGTAGTAAAGAAAGATAAAGCAATAAAGAAAGCTGAATGTATTAAAGTCCATAATTGGAATACTGGTGAAATAATAAGTAAAAGTATGGTACATCCTGAAATTAAAAAAGAAAATAATATTTTTAATTGAAATTTTTAAAAAAGTGAAAATAAATATAATAAAATATTACCTGTTAAAATACTCCAGAAACTAAATGCAATATATAAAGGATGTAATTTTATTAAAGGCCAAATTTTAGCAGAAAAACCTTTTTTTTTATAAAATTGTTTTAAAATTTGTTCTTTGTTAAACCATCTTTCTTGTAACCATTGTCTTAATGTTAAATCATCTGTCGGCATATTCCATGAAGGTATTCGCTCAATATGAAAATGTACTTCATTTGGTAATTTTCCTTTCATTAAATCTAATTCAGATTGTGGAATATAATCAGGATATGCAATTGTTAAATCATAAACAGCATTGAGATACTTTGCTTGCTGAAGATGTCGAACTAAATAACTAAATCCCGTTGTTTTTGGATGCAAAATAAAAGAATATTGCGGTAAAACATGTTGCATGGCATATTTATTAGATTTTTCCTTGCTGCTTTTTGTCAAATCAGTACCTTCAGGAAATATAAGTAATTGAAAACGTCTATCAAGAGCTATTAAATAATCCAAAGTTTGTGACAATCGATTTTGATCTTCTTCCCAGCGACGAGTTATATAAAGGAAACCATTCATTTGCATTATCCATCCTGTTACACAATAATACTTTAAAATTTTTAACATTCATAAAATCAATATTATAAAAGAAAATGTTTTAATTTAAATATATTTTCATATAAAAATTATTATAGTTTATAGTTAATAGTTCAAAAACTATTTAAAACTACACAGAATATTATAATTATATTAATCATTATAATCTTTTCATTAAAAATTTAAATGAAATTTATTCAAATCCATTCATTCATTTTTTATTGAAAATAAAGCTATAAATAGAACAATGCTTTAAATAGAATTTATTTTATTTCAAATAAAATATTTTATTGTAAATACAAAATAGGCTCCAAGATATAAAATTAATCAATATAATCAATATAAAATTTTATTAATAAAATTGTATATCTGATTACAGGAAATTTAAAAGACAATTTGAGATTAATATATTAATATTAAATATAAATTAATACTCAAAAAATGTTAAACAAAAATATGTAAAAAATTTCATTTAAAAAATAGATCAATTTTCAAAAAGATATTTACATAAAATTCACATAATAAAATACTTTTCTTAAAAAAAATATTAATTTTTAAAATAATTTTTAAATTCTCACAATAATTATTGCATAAAAAGATTATAATAGAATATTTTATATGTAATTATTAAAATTATATAATATAGATTGTTAATATATTAAAGAACCATTTTTAAAGAGCTGATTTTAAAGACCAAAATAAATAATTGATATACAAAAATATCAGTTAAAATTTATTTATTAAATTATAAGCAATTGTAGTGTTATAAATAATTGTAAACCATTATTTTAAATGGAAATAAAGTAAAATTATTCTATCTTTTATTTTATTTCATTTTATTTCTATCGCGCTTTGTTCTTGTCTCATCATCGATTAAACTATTTATAATTTAATAATTACATAATTAAATAAATTTCAATTGACATTTTTTTATATCAATACAATATATTTTACACAAATTATTTTATATAAAATATTTATATTTGTTTTTGCTTTTAGAATTGATCTTTCAAATTCGTTATCTTATGAATATATTAACATTATATATATATATAAACATATAAAATATTTCATGTTAATATATTTTACCTGGTCCTGGAATATGTCGTATAGGATCCTTCAAAACAAATTTTAATCTATGAGTTGCTACACTAGGTAAACATGCTTGATACATTGCAGCCCATAAAAAATTCCAATCTACTCGTGTTCTATGATTCATTACAAGAACAGCAGATTCATTTGGAGATATATGATCTCCCGACACAAAAATTTTCACACCAAATACTTTTAAAAGAGCCTAGAATATATAAAGAATGATTTATATGAATAATATATAATTATAATTCATTTATATAATAACTGTATAATTTATATATAAGAAAAATATAATCTTGTAAAAAAAAGAAAAAAAAAGAAATTCGTTTTGCTTACTGTAGAATAAAGCTCCCAACAAGAAAGTAACAGATCACCACATTTTCGAAACTTTGGAGGACTAAAGAATAATAGTGGTAACATAGGGCAAGCAATAAATAAAAAGCCAGCCACTATACTACCATACCATAGTACACAGTACAAAGTACCTCGTAAAAGTCCACGCATTTCAAATTGTATCTTAAATAATTAAAGAAAAATATAATAAAATTATTTGATATATATATATATATATATANAAAAATAATATCATACAATAAAAAAAATAAAAGATAAAAGAAATTTTTGTTAATAATAAAATATTTCTCAATTTATATATATAATAAAATTAAATTTATATTTTTAAATAATAATTAAAAAAATAGAAATAACAAAAACTTAATTGAGATAAATAATATTAGAAATGTCAAAAATTTTAAATATATAATTATATTTTTAAAATAACAAAGCAAACTTACCTTGTCATGTGTATGTTCTGAATCAAATATTTCTTTTTAAGTATTCAATGTTAACTATTTCTTTCTGAAATGTTTTCTTTGGCTTCCCTTC